TCTTTGATATGATTCACTTCTCAGGCATTGATATATATTTCTAACCTGTATTATTTTCCTTCTCTCCACCCCCTACAAGGATAATTCTCATACACTGTAGCTTGGTGAATTCTTTTCTCTTAATACCAAATATTTTATTCTACCTTCTTTTTTTTTGAATGGTTTTGGAGGGGTTGAATATAACCCTCGTTCTTCCAACCCTTCCCCATCCCATTAGTCCTCCTCATTCCTAGACAGTTTTGTTTCTACTTTATGTCATTGATACATATGATTTTTATCTATCGGTATAAAATCTAGGATCCACAAGTGAGAGAATGTGACTTTTGTCCTTCTGAATCTGATTTAACTCACTTAATTTGAAAATCTCTTGTTATATCCATTTTCTGCAAATGATGTAATTCATTCTTCTTTCTGGTTGAACAAAATTCCACTGTGTACATAAACCACATTTTCATCCATTCTTCTGGTGAGAGACATCCAGACTGACTCTATAACTTGGCTGTTGTGGATAATGCTACAATAAATATTGGTGTGGACTATCTCCGTGGTATATTGCTTATTCTAATGCTCCTTGATTTCACTTAGGAGTCTATTTGTGTATTCTTTGATTTGTTACACACTCATATAATTATTTTTTTGAATTTTTTTTTGTGTGGGATTTCATCTAATTCACTTTCGCTGAACCCATCACTGGGGAATTGACATTTTTCGGAGGAATCACACTGTCTTGATTTCTTCATGTTTCTTGTATTTCTTCACTGTTACTTGGGTATCTAGGGTTATGTCATTGGTTGGAATTTTTAAGATTCAGCTGTATTTTTTCAGTTGAAGTATTTGCAATGTTCGGCAGGACTAGTAGGGCTGAGGTGACATACCTCCACAGTCAATTGTGAGTGATATAGTGTAGTAGTTAAACCCTTAGTCCATGTGCCGGGATGTTGGGCACCACCCACACACCACTCATAGTTCAATCTTGGAGTGGTGTTGTGGGAACTGCAGAAGCTATTACACAATGTAAATATCATAATATTGGAAACAGTCATTCATCATTTAACTTCAATAACTTGGGATACAAAGAAACAAGAATAGTACAGTATGCACTAAGTCATAAGTTCCTGAGGCCAGGAAACAGGCTGAGTAAGGACAGGGATCAGTGTTAGGGCAACTGAGAAAACAGGTGGAAGGGTGAAGTCTGGAACGTTATCAGGAGCAACAGAGTTTTAGAAAGCCATGGGAAATTATATTGAAGAGGTAAAGGGAGAAGGAATGGGAAAGGGGGGGGCAGGTAGGATAAGAGGGAACTTATATGGGTTGAGTGTAGGAAGAATGACAGGTGTACACAACAGGATGGGTGCAGAAACACAGAATAATCAGAAAACCTAATCAGGCAACATAAAGCCAAAGTAAGACCATTGAGAGATAGTTATACAACCGAAGATCTAAAAAATAAATGACAAAGTGGGACTGGTGATATAGTTGGGTGGTAGAGTGCAGCCCAACACGTGCAAATAATGCCTCTCTCTCTCTATATATATATACACACACACACACACACACACACACACACACACACACACACACATATATATATATATAAAATAACAAGCAATCTATATCATATATTATGTAACACCAGTCAGGCTTTCTTCTTTGAGAGGACGAGTTTTGAATTCCTCCTTTTCCTGACAGGGGATTTGAGGGTTAAGGCTCCAGTTCAAACCTGTAAAACAGCCGGGCGGCGGCGGCACACACACCTTTAATCCCAGCACTCCGGAGGCAGAGCCAGGCAGATCTCTGTGAGTTCGAGGCCAGCCTGGGCTACAGAGTGAGTTCCAGGACAGGCTCCAAAGCTACACAGAGAAACCCTGTCTCAAAAAAACCTGTAAAACCAGATCTGTGGGTATGCAGTGTCCTAGTGGATAGTGGTGTGCAAACCAATTACCTTTTGGGGTGAGTTTTGCTCAGTGACCAGTAGGTGTCAGCATGTCCTCATTTTTCCGGTTCCAGTCCATATGGAATAGAATTTTGGGTAGTTTCCACCCATTAGTGTTTCATGTGCACTGGATGATTGAATTTCCCAAGCTTGGTTTATTACACATTCTTATTACATAAGTTAGAGTTCTGGGTTTTTTTTGGAAGTAGAGCATTTTAATAATTGTTAGGACAATTTACATGTGAAACTGGAAATGGGAAGCTCCACGCTATTATTTTTCCAGTCATCTGTTTGCAGCTGGAGGTTACCAAAACAGACTATTTTAACCCCCACTCACAAATGTACCCACAGAATAGCCACCCATAACTTATTTAAGATTTTTAAAGAGTGTCTCAGCCTGGCATCAGAATAGCATCAATTTTGGCATTTGCTAATCCCAAGAAAATTTAGTCTCTTTAAGTCAAAATTTGATTAAAGACCAATATTCCTCAGAAAATGGGCAATCAATATACCTCAAGACCAGGCCATACCACTCTTGGACACATACCCAAAGGGTGCTCCACCATACCACAAGGACACTTGCTCAACTGTGTTCATAGCTGCTATATTCATAATAGCCAGAAACTGGAAACCACCTAGATGTCCCTCAATGGAAGACTGGATAAAGAAAACGTAGCACACTTACACAATGGAGTATTACTTGGCTGTTAAAAACAATAAAATTTGCAAGCAAATGGATGGAACTAGAAAGAGTCATCCTGAAAGAGTTAACTCAGAAGACAAACATGGTATGTGCTCACTTAAAGTGGACATTAGTTGTTAAGTAAAGGAAAATAATGATACAATCCACAGACCAGAAAGGCTAAGTAACAAAGAGGGCTTGAGTGGGTGGGGGCATGGATCTTCCTGGCAGGGGAAAATAGAACAGATTTTGCAGGTGAACTGGGGGCAAGTGGAGATGGGGACAGTAGGATTCAGAAGGCAGGCAAGATGGAGGGAGAGAGTTTTGGGAGAGATGACTAGAATTAGGGTGTATGGGGAGGGGTGATGACGTAGAAAGCTAATGCAATCGAAACTCCCTATAATCTACAAGGGTGACCCAGTGAAGTCTCCTAGTAATGGGGATATGGAGCCTGAACCAGCCACCTTCTATAACCAGGCAAGGCTCCCAGCAGTGGGGCTGGGACATCAATCCAGCTACAAAACCTTCAACATACAATATGTCCTGCCTGCAAGATGTGCTGGGGTAAAGGGGGTGCAGAACTTGTGGGAGTGGTCAACCAATAACTGGTCCAACTTGAGGCCCATGCCAAGAGAACTGCAAATTAACGATGCTTGGATGGTCAGGAATCAGAGGCAGGACAGCTCAGAAACCCAGGATAGAACCAAATATAACTGGCCAAAACCAAAAACCAAACCAAACCAAACCAAACCAAACCAAAACAAAACAAAAAAACAGTCAATGAAATGATTCTTAATGATATTCTGCTATACTCATAGATTGGTGTCTAGCCCAATTGTCATCAGAGAGGTTCCTCTGGCAGCTATTGGAGCAGATGCAGAGACCTACAGTCAAACACTAGATGAAGCCAATGGAAGCCTGAAGAAGGGGAGGAAGGAGGAGGAGCCAGAGGGGTCAAGGACATCACAAAAAATGACCCACAGAATCAAGTAAGCAGGGCTCATAGAGGCCCACGGAGACTGAAGAGACGATCACAGACCTGTATGGGTCTGAGCTAGGTCCTCTGCATATCTGTTATGGTTGCATAGCTTGCTGTTCTTGTGGGACCCCTAATATCATGAGTAGGGGGTGTCTCTGTCTCTTTTGCCTGCATTTGGGACCCTTTTCCTATGGGGTTACCTCATGCAGCATTGATATGAGGATTTGTGCCTAGTCTTATTGTAATTTGTTATGCCACATTCAGTTGATATCCCTGGGGAGCCTGTTTTTGTTTTTTTTTTTTGAAGGGAAACAGAGGAGGAGTGGATCTAAGGGAGAGAGGGGGACGAGGGGTGGTGGAGGTAAGGGAAACTGGGTTTGGGATGTGATGTATATAAACAATAAAAATAAAGTTTTAAAAATTTTGATTAAAGACAATTACATTTTTTGTTTATTTTGGGTTCTTTCTTTGAGATAAGGTTTGACTCTGTAACCTAGTCTGGCCTGGAACTAACCACAGAGCCCAGGCTGGTTTAGGCTTGCCTCAACCTCCTACATTCTGAGATTACAGGTGTGACCCTCCCTATCTGGCTTCATGGTTACCCAGACAGATAGAAAACAGAGCTAATGTAGGCAATTTAACGATTACCTTGCAAATTCTAAATATCTGGAGGCAGGTGTACTCAGATTTCACTTTTATTTCAGTTTTTCCTTATGGTTCACTTTGGCTCCTGCTTTCAGTTTCTCTTGATGCCCTTCTGCATGTTAAGAACGGAGTGGACGGGACTGGAAACATGGCAGCAGTTAAGAGCACTTGTTGGAGCAGGAGAGATTGCTCAGTGGTTAAGAGCATGGATTACTCTTCCTGAGGACCTGAGTTTGGCTTCCAGTACCCACAGCAGGCGGCTCATTACTGCCTGGACCCCAAGCTCTGGGAGATCTAATGCTTCTGGTCTCTGTGGGCACCTGCATATACATGTGTATACCTACACACGGTCACACAACATAACTGAACAAACAAAACCACTTGGTGTTCTTTCAGAGGACCGAACCAGTGCCTGATTGGGCAACTTACAACTGCATCTAATTCCAGGTCTTGGGTATCCAAAACGCGCCTGTGCGCACGCATGCATGCATGCATGCATGCACACACACATACACACACACATGAACGTGCGTGCACAGAAAAAAAGGACAAAGTATCGAGGAGAAAAGAAAAAAGGACTGACTAGGTTACAGGTTATGGGAAAGGGAAATAATCTTCTACTTGCAGGTAGCTGAACATCTAGCCTTGAAAATGACACTCAATGTATATGAAACAGAACAACATAAGGATAATAAATAATGAATCACCTGCACAGATGGAAATGGGAAAATGGCTTCTGCCCTGCAACCAGCATCACTCACCTCCAGGGAAGTGCAGGGCTGAGCAGCACTTGTGGCCATGTATCTGCTCAGTTGTTTGAACTGTTGGAGCCCATCCTCTACAGCCAGCGGCAGTAAGGTATGATGTGGTCTGTAACAACCTTCCACCTCTAACATGCGCAGCTCTGAGATGCAGGCCTGCAGCCTAACGAAATTCCCTCTCACTTGCTGCAGAGACAAAGGAATCAAAGACACAAATCTGTAGTAACCCAGTATGCTGGTTGGCTTCTGTCACATCGACACAGACTAGAGTCACCTGGGAAGAAGAAACCTCAATCAAGGAATTGCCTCCATTAGATTGGGCTATTAGCTTGTCTGTGGAGCATTTTCTTGATTAATGGTTAATGTAGGAGGGCCTAGCCTCCTATGTGCTGTGCCAACCCTGGGCTGGTAGTTCTGAGTCATGTAAGAAATCAGGCTGGGCAAGCAATGGGGAGCAAGTCAGTTAGGGAGCTTTCCTCCTAACCCGGAGAGTGGTGGCGCACCCCTTTAATCCCAGCATTTGGGAGGCAGAGGCAGGTGGATTTCTGAGTTCAAGGCCAGCCTGGTCTACAGAGTGAGTTCCAGGGCTGCACAAAGAAACCCTTTTGTCTTGAAAAACAAACAAACAAAAAAACAAAACAAAACCAACCAAACAAACAAACAAACAAAAAAAGGAGCTTCAGATTCCTTGAACCGAAGCATGCTGGCAACTGAACCCGGGTCCTCTGAAAGAGCGGTGCATGCTCTTAGTTCATGAGCCATCTCTCCAGCCCCAACACTGTCTGGTTACAGCTTTTAGAAAATTGCTGTCTTGTGTATTTTATTTTCCTTTTTTCTATACACTTTTCTTGTCACACTAGGAAGATTTGAGCCTGTTTTGGTTCTTATCTTCGTAACTCATGTTTATCTGACTCCTTTAAATGACTGCTCTAACAGTACTTCACTCACACCTGATAGAATGACTGTATTTCCTTGTCTCATTCTCATTCCCCTCTCCTGTTGCTCTCAATTACATTCTACCACACCATCTTCCTTAGACTTACCTTTATCTGCATCCTTTGTTGCTTTGACACAATCAGATGTCAGCTACTAAGGATGAGGAAAAGCATTATAACTAAACTAGAGCAGTTTGAACCCTAATATCTCATCCTAGATAATGTATAATTTCAATAAATTCTTTATAATGAAAAATTTAAAAGAATTAGGAAGAGTTTCAAAGTAAGGACACTCTTCTGGAATCCTCCTTTGAGAGGGAAATTAATCATTTGGGTTAGAATTATTTATATTCATGTCACAATGGCTATAAAAGGAATTCTAATATTTTAATTATGAATTCTCTGTCATTAGTCCTTATAAAAGGTTCAAAATTATTTGATGATACTAAAAAATTAAATGTGAAGGGTAATCTTAGGTCTGTCCTGGCTACGATTTCCCATATGGTACTTTTCTGAATTTACATTTTGAGGTGTCTCTGCAGACAGGAAATGTCAGATGTTTATATAGTTCAGTGAAAATGGAATTAAGGGCCTGTTTCCCTTGTAGACTGGATTGCTTCTATACATCATGTGGTAGCATCATTCTCGCAATTTTCTTGAGTTTCTTGAATACCCTGAATTCACTGTTCTAAGGGAAGGAAATTTTGGTTTGTCATTTTTCCTGAGTTACCCACGAGGAGTCCTAAAGGTGATTTTTCTTCTAGGACTGCCTATAGGCAACGACAAGGCTTTCCCTGGCAGCTTCTATGGGATGGTGGTGGGAGACAAATGGCAGCTTGCACCTAGACTTGGTGCACAGCCAATTCACCGCAGTCTCTGAAGGATGTGGTCAAGGACTCAGGCTGGCCCGGCACAGCCTGTTCTTGGGAGATTTGCCTCCCTATCTCTGCCACCTGCATTCCTAGGTCTCTCAGGCCTACAGCTACATTCCCCTCAAGAGCTTCTGCCAAGACTGCTGTATGAGAGAACGGGGAAACTTGGATTCACTTTTCTCTACCCTGACTCAGTTCTTTTCTATTATTAGCCTTGCCTCTTCGCTTTCTCTAACCCCAGGTTGATTAAAACCATCAAAGCTTTTTGTCTGGGGTTCATTCAACAGGGAGACTGTCCCTTCATCTGTGCCAATACATTTACCTCTCAACCGTTCTGAGAAAAATGGGGAAAGGTGGGTGTGGTGACTCACACCTGTAATCCCCCCACTCAGTAGAGTAAGTGGGGAGAATTGTCCCACATTAGAGGGCAGCTTGAGCCAAACAGTGAGCCCCAGGCCAGGCTGGCTGACAGAGTAAGACCGATTTAAATAAACAAAAGAAATGAAATACAGAAACTCACCACCAGCACCACTATCAACAAGATGGAATGGGACTTTGCCCAGGTTAGACACTTGATTAGTCCCTTTCAGCAGGAGATTAGCCTTAACCCTTTTCTGTAGTTCGTTGTTCCTTTGGCACCTGGCAGATAAGTTCTGTTTCCCAGCTTAGTTAAGCTCCTGACAAGTTCATGGTTTCTAGTATAAAACTGCCTACCTTTCCTAATGGAGTGATTAAGGAGTCAGTTGATTTTAAAAGGCCACATATACTGGGAGTAGCAGGGAGATAAAGCTACCTGAAGAAAAATCATCACAACATTCGGTACTGGGAAGTCTTTTTGTTTGCCTTGCGAGATCACTGCCTACTTTTCTCTCCCTGGTTTTGTATCCTTGGAGGCCAATCTCTAGGGACCAATTCAATGTGTTTCCTCACACTCTTGCTTCTAAAAAGGTGTGTCCAATGGGAGGCACTAGCTGGGATTTAGATGTGGGAATCCCACTTACCCATACTATGCTTTGCTGAGCTAAGGCTCTTCTCCACAGCAAAATCCCATTGTCAAGGTCCTTGTACCTACTGCAATGGTCCTGAATAAAAGCTATATGGTGCTTTAACAAAGGTCACAGATCCCGTGAGGTGGCGCTCTCCAGTCCTGGGTGGCCTGGCTGTTGCACTGTTTTTTATTGACTCTGCCTAAACTCTGCCTTCACTTCTGCAAATATTCTCTTTCTGTATCTCTGAAAAAATGTCCAGATCGGGTATGCCATCTGTTCTTGCTTGCAACTTGACTGACTTATATAGCTCCTTAAAGAGCTTCCTTTAAAAAGGAAAATGGGAGTTCTCTTTCCTTTCCCATATAGAGTTATTTTCCTCTAGCTACCTTGGTCTCTCTGAAGCCCCAGATCCTACTTCTGAACACAAGAGGACGGCTGGCACCTGCCTGGATTTTTCTCTTCTGTACTGAGGCTTGGAAACTTAAGGGAGTAGACTGTGACAGCCCTAGGTTCCCCTTATTGTACTCCATCATGATATGTACAGTGTCTTGAGAAGTGTGTGTGTGTGTGTGTGTGTGTGTGTGTGTGTGTGTGTTGAGCCAGAGGTCAACTTCGAGTGTCATTCCTCAGAAGCTTCCTTGTTAGCTTTCTGTTGCTGTGATAAACACCATGACCAAAAGCAACTTGGGGGAGGAAGCGGTTATTTCAGTGTATAGCTTATGGCCCATCATTGAGGGAAGCCAAGGCAAGAACTCAGACAGGAACTGAAGCAAAGACCTTGGAGGAATGCTGCTTACTGGCTTGCTTAGCTACTTTACTGGCTTGCAAAGTCTACCTGCCCAGGGATGGCACTGCCCACAGGAGGCTAAGGCCTCCTACCTCAGCTAGCAATCAAGAAAATGTTCCCACGGACATCCCATATGTCAATCTGGTGGAGGCAATTCTTCAATTAAGGTTTCTTCTTCCCAGGTGTATCAGGTTGACAACCAAGGTTAGCCATTATAGGAGCCATCTACCTTGATTTTATTTTATTGAGACAGGGTCTCACTGGGACCTGAGGCATGCTGATTTGGCTGTGCTAGAGTACCAAGAACCCTCCCGTTTCTGCCTCCCCAGCACTAACAAGCACACACCAACTAAGATCTTGTATAATATTCGAGGGACCAGCCTTAATATTATACACCCCAGGGGCTCAGGAGAGAGAACTGTGAATGGCGAGGACTAATTTCGGGAAATAGAATCTCAGCACACCAAGCTCTTAGTCATTTATTCTTCCAAATCTTCTTCTCCATCCTCCCGTGTCCAGGGAGTCCCAGTATACATACACTTAAAAGCGGTAATCTGGGCTGGAGAGATGGCTCAGAGGTTAAGAACACTGGCTGTTCTTCTAGAGGTCATGAGTTCAATTCCCAGCAACCACATGATGGCTCACAGCCATCAATAATGAGATCTGGTGACCTCTCCTGGCATGCAGGCATACATGGAGGCAGAATGTTGTATACATAGCAAATATATAAATCTCTTAAAAAAATAAAATAAAAGCGGTAATCCCTTGGCAGTGCAAAGCCAGGCTTCCAGGGTCAAATGGAGGGGTGATAAGAATCACAAAGAAGGGCAGGGGCAGTAATTGTTAATTATCATTTGCAACCCCAAAGGAAAGTGACTAATGGGGAAATGAATTAACTAAAAGCTAAATTCGGGTAATATCTAAGAAGAGGGCTCTTATGTGCTCAACTATAATCTTAAATGTGATTTGTAGAAAATATTAAGATTCTATAAGTTGCTAGGTCAATGGGAGAAAATAAAACTGCCTTCTTTTTTCCTGTGGCTCCTATCTGTCCGAGCTATCTGCTGTTTTTTCTGCAGGGTGGGGGAAAATGTGCTCAGTCACTAGGCAACCTGTGTACAGCTAGATGCCTCTGGTGATAGTTAAAGGGAGATCTGGCCTGTAGGGCCCTGCCCCCCCC